GGGTACACGTTCTTTGAAGAAGGTGGAGTCTTAATGGTTCGAAAGGGTGTTCGTGAAGAAAAGTCAGCACAAATTCAATACCGTGGTGGAGATTTAGTTTGGTACTATACCTTTGGGATTTGGTTCATGGTTCATATTGAAGAATACTACCGAATCAAGTTTGGAGGATATGAGTAATTCTGCTTTGCCATCATTGCCTACAATTCTATCGTATTCAACTGCTGGGATATACTCATTAGAGATATGTATGTGGATACTGATTCGATTTCACATGCTTATAGCGTTTTTGAAGGTATTGAGACGGTCAGGGGGACCTTCTATAAAAGCATTGTGAGTTGATACTTAACAAGTCCCTAGTCAATCATAGTTAATGTTCTTATAGTGTGTTCGCGTGAAACCCGCAAGCGTACGGGATCTTTGTACAAGTAATAAAATATGTGAGTTAAGAGTATCGTTCCCACGAGAAATAATGTCTAATTTGTAGTTCAATCGCTACTATTAAATTCAAGGTGTGGTAATATCAAGAAGAGATGATTTGTATGTAATATATATTAACCATAAACTAACAAAACTAATGAAGTATTTATTCATTATGTAAATATTTGTATTGGAATCGTGAATCCCCCTATAATCATATTGCCATTTAATTCAATTCTTAATTCGTAATCTAGAAAATTCAGGAATTCAAGAAAATCGATAATCCACTATTATTCAATATTCTTTTTCAAGATATATTAAACCCGTGTTTAACAAGACCCGATCCTATTCCTAGTCCGAATTCATATGAAAAACATGCATTGATTCACAGAATTTATCACACATGATTGCACATGCCATAGATATTATTCCTAATACCTATTGTCCATGTGTTGATTTTGCCGCGTTCTAAACTTATTGTAAGTATTCCTACACTACAACAAGCAACTTACTATTTAATTGGTGATCAAGTAATCAAATAGTTCAATGAGTATGCAAAATCAATTAAGAAAAATCAAGAAGTGCTAAATTAATTGTCTCGAATTAAAACAAATAAGCAGTAGGGTACATAATTCATCCAATACAATGAAAAACTAGCCTAACATTCTTACAATTAAATTACACAAGAATAATTGGAAAAAAAAATCACCCGAAAATTAGAAAGATGGAAGAAGTAGGAAAAATCCACGTTCTTGATGTGAATCTTGAATCCGGATGAAAAATCTTCAATATCATATGCAATCCGTCTTGATTCCACATTGTTAGCCATGTTTTTCACCTTCAAAATATGTATCATATAGAGATTTTTAGATCTATGGAGGTTCTCCATATGTATTCTGTTGTTCTCTATTTGTAGGAGTGAAAAATTGATTGAAAATCGCGTCCAAATTGGTTTTCAAAAGAGTTCTAATCGAATAAGGAAGTTGCTTTTGTGCGCGGATTTTTTTGTCTCTGCACAGCAATCCGTATTTTAGTCATATTTTGCCAAAAGAATAATAAAATTCTATAGTTTCAAACCCCGGATAAGTGTAGAAAATAACTTATCATAGTGCGATTGACTAAATTATCTAAAAGGTATTTCAGAATAAGTTATTTTCACACCCCGCTCATGACAAATCACAAGATTTATAGAAAATGAATTTCCGTTCTCAATTTTTTTTTTTTTTAATATCTATTCGATCACTCACAAGCAAAATCACATGAAAAAACAAGCACACAAAATGAAGTGACCTATCTGTCAAAAACATAAATGAACTACACTATAAGATCAAAAATCAATGGCAATCCAGATGCCTATTATGCTTTCCTAAGAAGCTCAACCAAAAGCTAGAAATAATTTAATCCCGTATCAAATAAAATAGTTCCTGGTATAAGAGCCAAAAACTTGTGATATAATCACAAGTGCACGATTGCAATTAAAATAGTAGAGTGGACCCAAGAGTCACATTGTCATTCCATAAGGAACATCTACCTAACTATAGGTTTAAATATACCCAACCTTTGTTCCCGTAAAAACAATTAGAAGTAGTATTAATTATGATCCTAAATATTATAAATCTACAAAAATAGTTTAAAAAGCCCAAATAACAAATTTAGATTTTAAACCGATGTATTATAAGTGTTAGGATTCAGGAGTTCACCGTAACTATTCCCTTAATTTCAATAACCAAATTTTGACAAAAATCAATTATGTGTTCCGAGTGAATTCTTCTGAATTAATTGATCTATTTATCTCGAGTTTAAATCAATCTTACTTAATTTAAGTCAATTCACTATATTACTAAGTGAATCGAGGTAAGCCTTGATTAAGAGCACTCAATCATCAGAGAATTTTGACTTTTACTACGTGATCTATGTAAATAACTCACATCTTGATTTGTTATCATTCACAAGTCAATGAATTAGCGATTAAGTAATTTATAGTCATGAATAATAAAAGTAAAAATAATACACAAATATTAATTGAAATTCACAACTTCGTAGTCAAAATTAAGTTACATCATTTGTTCCAACTTTTGGTTTAGTTACACAGCATGGTGGAAGAAAAACAGAAGAAGATTTTGGAGTATATCATAGGGTTTAAAGAGAAAGTTGAGAAAAAAGATGAAAATCTCGCACTAAGAACTTGCATTATTTTTGAAAAATCTTGAAATCCTAGATTTCTTCCTTTGCTCCCTCCATTTGTGGGTGCAGTGTATAAACCAGTGTTCTAAAAACTCGTTTAGGCGGCACTTAGGGTGCGCCTAGACTTGAAGATCTGGCAAAATGTCTCGCTTCACGTCTAGGCGTTTTTCCTTTTTCAATTCCATAGACAATTGAAAATTTTGCCTCCTCTCTTTCGTCTTCTCTAAGAGCGCTTTATTAAATTTTTTTTATTTTTTTAAAGTCTTTTATTTGACTTTAATTTATTAATTTATTAATTTTCTAAAAAAAATTCATTTAACTTTTGTTTCAAAATTTTAAAAGAATTTATCCGTATAAAAGTTAAAAATGATTTTATTCAATAAAAAGATAAATACATGTAATTACAAACTTGAGACTTTGTTAATTTGTTGAGAATTTCGAAAGCATGTATGAAGTTCATTTACATCTATTAAGTAGAACTTGTCTAGTTGAAAATAGAAATTACGAAAAATAGTCTAGTTTTTCCATTTCAAAACATGAAAATTGTATAATTGACTAATTATAAAAATTATTAAGTAAACATAATATTTATAATTTTAGATGTTTGATATGTATTATTTTAATTATTAAATAATTTTTAAAATGATTAAAAATATAAAATAATATTAAAAGTAAGAAAACACTTTTTTTACGCCTTACGTCTCTTAAACTCGCTTTAACTTGTAAAGCTTGAAGTTTCGTCTTCACATTTAGCCACGCTTTACATTTTTTTTACGACATTTGTATAAACCAAAAAGTTTAAGAACCCATTATTTTGACCTAGAATAGGTCCTTATACAGTGCTCATGTCCCCTTGGAAGTTGTGCCAAAAAAAAAACCAAAATCTCTTTGAAAATATTTATAAAAAACCTTAATTTTTAATGACCGTATCGCTGTTTTCGGTTAGGCCAGAACGCGACCAAAATTTGGCCCATGCTGTGGTTGCGGTTTGCATAACGTGGGCTGACCCCTACAAATTTCAAAAGTCTCCAATATGGTCCCCACTTCAAGTTTTTGTCCAATTTTGATCTCTTTTTTATATCCTAATGTCCAAAATTGATCTCGCAACTTTCAAAAGCTTTTACGGTTGTCCCCAAACCTCTATAATCATTCGAATTCGGTCTTCCAGAAGTTTTGAAAGTTTGTAAATCAGTCCTCTAACTTTTAAAAAGTTGAATTTCACTTTCTAAACCTGTGAGTTTCCTCTAATTATTCTTTTAATGCTTTTTATTAGCCCTTCGCAATTGGTAAATATTCAATTATTCTAAATCAACTTCGCTCAAAACCTTATTTTTGCTCAAAATGCCCATGTCTCGATTTTTCTTACGTTAACGATATTTACACTAAATTAAATAGATATTCTCTTAATTTTTTGTGATTACTAATCTACTTCCATTGTACTTCAATTCAGAATTTAATATTTATTATAGTTCTTTTGTTTTATAACTGTCTCTCATTACCCAAAAAGAAAAAGAAAAAGTCTCATTGCACCTATTATTAAATGTGTGTAACACCTTTAATAAGAAAATAAAATTAACATGGGTAAGGATGACCTAGATTAAAATATCTCATTTTCTCATCTACTTATTTAATATTAAATAATATTTATTTTATTTTTCTAAATGAGATTTAAATTTAAAAATGTAAAATAGAATAAAATAAAATAAAAGCTAAGAGTCATGTGGGAACCATGTTCTCCTTCTCATCCCAATTCCTTGACATGGTAAGTGTGGACAAATCAATTTGCCATCCCTAAGCATAGGTAAGCATGTCAAAGATAAAATTCAAATAAATAATATTTTTCCATCGTTAACAGTTTAAACTTTTTGATAAATTAGTTCAGATAGTTATCACTATGGTTGCCACCCCAATATGATTCATTACTATCACTTCCCTATGTTTCCACAATTTCTCTTCTATTAAAGGATTTGTAGCAAGATTGTAAATAGCAAAACTCCAAATGAAAACTGATATACTTGAAAATAACGTGACATGTCAAAATGAGTTGAGCACGTGTCCAAGAGGCAAACCAAGTCATTGCCACAATATTAACCAAAAGTGATTTCATTGTCATATAGACGGGTGCTATGCACCAACAGGACTAAGGGTATAAAGCAATGCTAAGTTGAACCCGTGTGTCAAGCACAATCACGTTACCATAGGCTAACAACTTAAAGTAAAGAGAGATTTTTTACTAGTATCAAAGCTTTCTACTCTTGCAAGTAAATTGTAGTTCTGTAAAACACAAATTAAACTCTAAAAAGCAAAAAACAACAATAAAGTAGGAGCCAGCTACTCCATTTGTTTAACAGCTTAGTATACTCGTTTTTATTAAAACAAAACAACTTAGGACCATGTTACTACTTGTTATCACTGTGTGGGTGAAGCTTGATTGGGAGACCATGTACAGGAGCAGCTGGCCCATGCTCAAAATTGATCTTTTCGTTTGGAATAAGCTTTTCCCACCTATATTTTCTTACCAAATGGTACATGAAAACTAGTAGTACTTGTCGTGCAAATTCACTACCAGGGCACATCCTTGGACCTCCTCCGAAGGGAGTAAAAGTAAATGGCTCAGCCCCGTTACCTTCAAATCTTGTAGGATCAAACTTTTCTGGACTTGGGAAATATTTGGGATCTTTATGAGTTGTACTCACGGACCAATATACCTGCAAAAAACTATGTATGAAACATTGGCACATATATATTGAAACACGTAGAATATGTTCTTCGAAGCTACTTTTATTTACTTTAAAAATAAATTTTAACTTAATCTCTAGAAAAGTAACTTTAAGCACAATCAAATTACTTGTTACTTTCTTCGAAATAAGTTTTTGTGCCAAAAAAATAACTTCTCAAACATGCTTAAAGAAAATGTCACTTTGAAATAATTTTAAGCTCAGCCAAACATGCTTATGTGCGTGTGTGTGTGTGGGCATGGGGGTGCTCTAACACACAAAGGAAGAACATGCCTTCCATCCTTTAGGAATGGTGAAGCCTGCATAAGTAATATCATGTATGGCCTCTCTAAAAAATCCTTGAACAGGTGGTGCTAGCCTCAATACTTCATTCACGACGTTACGAGCATACTTCATTCTATTTATATCTTCCCATGTCAACATTTTTTCGGGTCCTTCTATCTTTGCAATCTCGTTCCCTTCTGTAGAGCAACATATTAAAATTGAACAAATTGAATGTTACATGCTAAAAAATGCAAAAACAATAGAAGAGAAAACATTTTCAAGAAATTTACTAAAAAATTATTATGCTTCTATTTGTTTGGTAGGATTAAAATCTAAATCAAAATCAACAAGTAATTTTAATCATATATTTTACGAAAGTTGGAGCTTTTCAATCATATTTCATCAACTTTATTAAAATTTACTAAAAATCTGATTTTAAAATTCTATCAAATGGGGGCGATTATTCCTGTTACGGTGAAGAATTTGAGGAAAATCAAAACCTAAACCAAATATTTTAAAAAGCTTTGAGATTTTCTCAACAATTTTGCTACAGTAGAAGTGCCGGATGCAGTGTTTCTCAAATCTAAATCTAATGGTATGGTTCGATTTTAAATTGCGGTAAATAGTGTATTTTTCCTCCACTTTATTGTCACAGCTTATTTCCGACAATGAGTTCAAGTTTTACCTCCATATGATATTCATTCATAAGAACTGTTATTACACATATGTTCAAAATGAAATTTTTAACCAATATACGCTTGCTTATATTGTATATTAATGATGACATGCAAGAAAATTGTAATTAAAAGAGTTTAGAAGAAATAATACCTCTTAAAACTTGAGCGTATACATGAGGATTATCCGCTAGATGGTAGACAAGATTTGTGATCGAAGAAGAAGTTGTATCATGGCTAGCAATGAGAAAAACTAACAGTATACATGCAATCTCATCCTCACTTGTAAACTTGTTATCATCATCAGTTGCAAAGAGTATGTGAGACAAAAAATGGTTAGGAGTTTCAGAATCCCTTTTTTTCTCTGATAAATAGAGTCTCTGTTGCCTGATGGTTTTTCGAAGCTCCCTGCGAATGAATTTGCAAGCCTTTATAGCATTACTGAAAGCAGTGCCGGGGAGATTGATCGGAAAAGACAAGAATCCAGGAGTAACAAGAGCAAATTGCTCGTCTAACTTTGCCATTTGGGTGGGATCTTCGATGCCCAAGAACAGCCTGCAAATCAATGAAAATGTAAATTTCTTGGCCAAAGGGAAAACTTCTAGTGTTTGGTTTGGAGCCCAATCATGATCCAGGTGTTGTCTAACATTATAATCCATGACGTGAATATACTTCTTTAGAGCTTCTGGCTTTAGAAATTCAGATAAATTGTTCCTCAATTTGGTGTTGGATTCTGGGATGCAAAGTATCTTTTGCATAGACTGAGGAATCCACGATTTTACGAGCTTGTTCTCGTTTGAAAAAATAAACTTGTTGCCTGAAGGGCCACACAAGACTGCAATTTTCTCTCCTATCAAAGAGGTTTTAAAGACTTCTGAGGAGTAATTCTTCATTCTATCAACTACGAATTCCTCTGGATAGCCCCTTTTGTTGGACAAGTAGAAATCAAGAGTTTCACCAATTACTGGCCATCCGAATTTGCCACGGGGAAGCTTTCCGTTATTCATTTCTGATTTGTACCTAAAAAGGAAGAAATACAACAATACAAAGATGGCTACAATGGCAAGTAAATAGAATGAAACGAAATCTCTCCCTTCTTGCATGTTGAATGGCCAGGAAATAATATACTTATGAGGATAGAGTGCTACGAATTAATTTGAATTAAGGACAAGAAAAGGATTGGAAGAAGAAAAGAAGGAAGATTACTTTGGCAAATAATTCATGCCATTTATTCAATCCGTTGAGACTTATTTATAGCCTTCAAGTGATAACAATAATTGTAGAATAGGAAAAAGAATAAAAAAACAACTAAACTACTTGGACTAAAACAAATTACAACCTTGCAACATTACCCTGACAGAACAGAATGCCCCACAACATTTCGTCATCGACCAGTTAAAAAAAAAAAAAAGACAATTTCTGCACTAATCATTTGTTGCCACACCTTCATCCGTCATCCAGAATGTCAAGTTCATCTCACAAAGTGGCATTATTCAACAAATTAACAACTTAGAAACCAATTTGGCCAGACCAAGTCTTCCATTTTCTCCACTTTCAGAATGAGTCGACCCTTAAATTTATTATGTGGATCGATAACAGTTAAAATCAACCACCATGTAAAAATTTAAGCGTGTTCGTATAATGGACAAGATTATTTAATTTATTTCTAACAAATATCAATGAGTTGTTGGGTAAGTCAATTGTACAAGGTTACACTCAAAATTAAATTTATTAAAAGCAAACAAGTTATCTACTAGTGTGTAGGATTAAGTAAATGGGTGAGGAAAATTTGTATAGAAACTCTGATAGTGCATTGTGCTTCTTCTTCTCTTCTTTTGCAATGGGGGAAATGCAGGAAATAGAACCCCAGAGAGAGAAAGTAGAGAGGATTTTGAAAAGCAGCGGAGGACTGGCTGAGTAGTGGTGTCACCGCCAATTTGTTGCTCGCCGGTAGAGGATTCAACGGCCGGATTCCTAGGATTTTCTAGAGGGAAGGGCCCGTAGGGGGGGTTGTACACCCCCCCGGTACGAATTGCACGTTTCTTTCTAGAGAGAGGTGCTATGTGGGAGGGTGCTTGTTTAGACAGAAAGAGAAAGAAATCTTGCCACTCAAAGTTTGCCACCTGGCAGGAGGAAATATTTTTATTTTTTTGCGGGGGTGGATGTGGTGGGGCCCAAAACCAACCAATTAGCCCCGATTGGCATCCATTTTGGAGGAAAAAAAATTCTGAAATAGTGATTGATGGAAAAATGTGTAGTTAAAAATAATTAGAATTTTTGGATTTATGTGTAGTATTATTTTATTGATAGAATATGTAGTTGAAATGAAGAAAGAGAAAAAAATAAGAATGAAAATGAGAAGAAAATTGGTGTCAAACACGGGTTTAATGTACATCGAGGTAGCATTATTCCAATTAAAATTAGAAAAATAAAATTGGTATTAAGCACCCATTTGGTATTTCAAAATTCTTTGATTTAGATACCCATATTCAATTGTAGATTAACACAATAAAATATATACACGTAAACTAAGTCCTACTTTTAACTTTGTATAGAAACTCTGATAGGGTGACATAATTGTTATGTAAAAATGAGAATTAAAAGAAAAATAAACAGATTTACGTGAAAATTATAGATAGGAAAAAACTACAAGCAGAGAAAGAGATAATCCACTATATCAAATATGATTACAAGAGATAATCTTTTTTAAAAATTTCTTTTAACTTTCTGATGGACCACAAATCTTTAGAAACTTCGTAAATTTCCAATAAACACTTGTGGTGAGGAAATTTAAACATTTTTTTCAAAATTTCTTTTAATTTTCTGATGGATCACAAATCTNAAATAATTCATGCCATTTATTCAATACGTTGAGACTTATTTATAGCCTTCAAGTGATAACAATAATTGTAGAATAGGAAAAAGAATAAAAAAACAACTAAACTATTTGGACTAAAACAAATTACAACCTTGCAACATTACCCAGACAGAACAGAATGCCCCACAACATTTCGTCATCGACCAGTTTAAAAAAAAAAAAAAAGACAATTTTTGCACTAATCATTTGTTGCCACACCTTCATCCGTCATCCAGGATGTCAAGTTCATCTCACAAAGTGGCATTATTCAACAAATTAACAACTTAGAAACCAATTTGGCCAGACCAAGTCTTCCATTTTCTCCACTTTCAGAATGCGTCGACCCTTAAATTTATTATGTGGATTGATAACAGTTAAAATCAACCACCATGTAAAAATTTAAGCGTGGTCATATAATGGACAAGATTATTTAATATATGTCTAACAAATATCAATGAGTTGTTGGGCAAGTCAATTGTATAAGGTTGGACACAAAATTAAATTTCTTAAATTATTATATTGTCCATTAGAACATAGAGTGTGTTTGGTAGAGATTTTTAGGGGAAAAATTGATTTTTGAATAGTGATATGATGGGAAATGTGTGGTTGAAAAAGAAGAAAAAAGTATTGATGTAATGGAAAGTATTATTTAATTGAAGAATGTGTGGTTGAAAATGAGAATTGATTTTTTATAGAAAATGAGAATCTGTACTAAACAGGCCAATGGTAAACAAGTTATCTACTATTGTGTAGGAATAAGCAATGGGTTGCAACAGGTTATATCGATTTTGGACCTAACACACACCAATTCAATTTTGTAATAAAAATCGACTCAACTTGAATCAGTTCAAACCATGTCGGTTCAAAAAAATTATGGTTAATTTGAGCTGATTCAGTACTTAAATTATCATTAACTTCCAAATCAACTCTTAATTGCCTAAAGTAAATCAATAAAAACTAAGCCGCCGTTTGGATAAAATTTATAAATTGATTTATAAATTCAATCAAAGTTAAACATTAATGTCAACCACACATTTATAACTATTACTCATTATTATCTACACATTTGTGGACTCGTTACTATTCCTATTTATAAATCATTTCTAAATTTGCCAAACGGAGAGAAATATTTTTGCTCACTCAAGTTGTGACAACGAAAAGGTGCCTGGCTCGGCCCTTGGCGTCTATAAAATGAGCCCGAGTCACTCATGGACCGAGAATGGCTCGGTTCACGTACCATCCCAAGTAAGATGTTTAACCTAGTGGAGTTCAGTCCATATCGATCCTTAAATTCATTATGTGGATCGATAACAGTTAAAATCAATCACCGTGTAAAAACTTAAGCGTGTTCATATAATGGCCAAGATTATTTAATTTATTTCTAACAAATATCAATGAGTTGTTGGGTAAGTCAATTGTACAAGGTTACACTCAAAATTAAATTTATTAAAATATTATATTGTTCATTAGATCAAAGCAAACAAGTTATCTACTAGTGTGTAGGATTTTAAGCAAATGGGTGAGGAAAATTTGTATAGAAACTCTGATAGTGCATTGTGCTTCTTCTTCTCTTCTTTTGCAATGGGGGAAATGCAGGAAATAGAACCCCCAGAGAGAGAAAGTAGAGAGGATTTTGAAAAGCAGCGGAGGACTGGCTGAGTAGTGGTGTCACCGCCAATTTGTGACTCGCCGGTAGAGGATTCAACGGCCGGATTCTTAGGATTTTCTAGAGAGAGGTGCTATGTGGGAGTGTGCTTGTTTAGACAGAAAGAGAAAGAAATCTTGCCACTCAAAGTTTGCCACCTGGCAGGAGGAAATATTTTTTTTTTTGTGGGGGTGGATGGGGATGGGGCCCAAAACCAACCAATTAGCCCCCTTTGGCATCCATTTTGGAGAAAAAATTCTGAAATAGTAATTGATAGAAAAATGTGTGGTTAAAAAGTAATGAGAATTTTTGAATTTATGTGTAGTATTATTTTATTGATAGAATGTGTAGTTGAAATAAAGAATGAAAAAAATAAGAATGAAAATGAGAAGAAAATGGGTGTCAAACAGGGATTTAATGTACATCATGGCAGCATTATTTCAATTAAAATTAGAAAAATAAAATTGGTATTAAGCACCCATTTGGTATTTCAAAATTCTTTGATTTAGATACTCATATTCAATTGTAGATTAACACAATAAAATATATACACGTAAACTAATTCCTACTTATAACTTTGTATAGAAACTCTGATAGGGTGACATAATTGTTATGCAACAGTACTCGAAAAGCCACAAGCGTGTTCCTTAAATTGTCGAAAATTTGTATAGAAACTCTGATAGGGTGACATAATTGTTATGTGAAAATGAGAATTAAAAGAAAAATACGCAGATTTACGTGAAAATTATAGATAGGAAAAAACTACAAGCAGAGAAAGAGATAATCCACTATATCAAATATGATTACAAGAGATAATCTTTTTTAAAAATTTCTTTTAACTTTCTGATGGATCACAAATCTTTAGAAACTTCGTAAATTTCCAATAAACACTTGTGGTGAGGAAATTTAAACATTTTTTTCAAAATTTCTTTTAATTTTCCGATGTATCACAAATCTTTAGAACTTCATAAATTTCCAATAGACACTTGTGGCTAGGAAATTTAAACTTTTTGATAGTGAATTCCCAATTGTGTATACTTAAAATGCTACAAATCCATATAGAATTTTAACATCCTTTGAATTTTTAAAAGTTTTAATAAAATAGATTTAAACCATTAGAATAATTTAATGTTGTGATTATTTGTCAAAAACATTTGGTTGAGGAAGAGTCCCCTAAAAGAAAAGGCTTTAGTTTTTGCTACTATTTTGATTACCAAGGACCCCAAATGAATGGTTTTCATCCAATTTTCCATTGGTTAGGCCATTTGACTAGCAAAATTAAAAAGGGCAAAATATTCATTACATTATTTTTAATTAAAATATTGCAAAAATAAAAAAAATAAAAATTGTTGACATCTAACCTCTGAGGTCGTTAAGTACAACTTGTTGTAGGCATTAAGTTTATGCAAATGCAAGCTCGGATATGTGAGATAGGCTCGGGTTACGTTATTATCAAGATTTGAGGGGACATAATGATTGAAAATTCCTTATGTATTGTACGAACA